GCTCATGGTCTTGGATGGGGTGCCGGCTTCAGTGTTTTTTTATTCGTAGAAGTGTGTTACCCTTTAACGGACCCTGAAGTAATGGAACGCTTAGGTGGGATCCCGCGCGAATTGTGGAGGGGTACCGTTTCCATGTTAAGCGGCCCAGCTTGCCATTATAACACCTCCGTTCTTTTGGTATTCAGAGGGTGGAAACATATTATGATTATAATTGGGGAAGCGAGTGAGGCGGAAACAACGGATTCGAGAGAAAGGGGTTTGACCAATCGATCTGCGGCTGTTTTCACAACGGACGAATGGAAGTCTCAGATCGACCTTCACCGGGGGAAGTAAGAGCAACTCATTGGTATGATGCTCGTCTGTGATGATGAAAACACTGACTTGTACATCGGGTGCCCCTATAAGACACTGTACAGCTTAAATATCATTCAGTATGCCACTCTGATTCTGGTTGGTCTATCTTTTATAAAGATGGTTCTCCATTCACATTTTCTTTATTATTCATCAAGGTAACTCGTTTCAGGACAATTTCTCAGATCCACTGCACTTATTCAATCATGTCATGACACATATTGACTTTCTCAGTAGCGACGATCGTGTTTGTGATGAAGAATCAATGTCACTTCCACAACATAGATGTCTTTGGGAAAACTGTTACCGGCAGTTTGAAAACAAAGGAGATTTGAGGTTTGTGCTTATTAATAATGGTTTTCTTCAAAGGTTTACTCACTTGAGCCGCGGAATTTTTTCCCTGAAATCGACATCTTAGTGAACTTCTTATTTTTTCATATTGTAATTTTCAAGCAGGCGGGGTGGGCAGTGAGACGGTTCTCAGTTCAAATCCCGGGTCGACTCCCGCCCAGGCCAACCAAGCCTTCTACCCTCCGGGACGGTAAATTGGTACCAGATTCGTCTGGGAGGATAAAACACTGACTTGTACATCGGCTGGCCCCGCAAGTCATTGTATAGGCCACATCGCATTCAATAAGCCACTACGATTCTGAATGGAAGTAGAATGCGTGCCGCATCCCACAAAGGGATTGATCAACGGTAGAGATATCCTTTATCCTTGATTTTCAAACATTTTTTAGAAAGCACGTTCGACATCACAGTGGAGAGAAGTATTGTGCGTGTCCTTTTTGCGGTCGCTTCTTCTCAAGACCTGATAAACTCTATGAACATCTTCGCAAACGGGCGCCGATCCCACAGGGCAAAGAAAACCAGCACGTATGTTTTCTCAGCTGTTTATTTTCGAGCTTCACTGTCCAGCATTCGGTGTTATAAGCTGGCTAGAGCTTATAACACAAAAAAAAATGTGCTAGGCTAGACTTAGAGGGACATTATGACGGTTGGCGCAGTTCGGCTTAGTGAAGGGGATTGTTCACTGCCAATGCCTGGTGCGTATGCCTGTTACTTCCTGTGAGGGTATGCAATAAAAGGAGCTTTTTAGACTGACAAGAAACTGCAAGTCTCACCAAGATGAGTCGTGTAATATAACAGGAACTACCAAACGAATTAGCCGAGTGGGGGGGCTAAATTGCGGCTTCGCTAAGCAAACTGGACTGAAGAACCAGTAACTTCAGCGAGAGCGGCAAAGTTTAGGCTAGTCATGTTTCGGGCTCTGTCATTCTATGCCGAGCTCGCTTTGGCGATGAAGCGGGCTTCATCTGTGAACCACGTGCGGCGTCACATCAACGGAAGACAGTGCCCTACTTGTGGATTAGCTGTTCAGTTGCCGTCTGACTTGCACCGGTACTATGTGTTATGCAGAAGATTTAACATGATTACTGCTTTCTGAACATCCCTATTTAGGCATATATTGGTGAAGCACACAGAAAGGATAAAGACGCTGACTTGTCCCGAATGCGACAAAAGCTTCTATTGTGCTGTAAGTTTTTTATAGTACCTTTTCTTCTACAGAGATAGGGGGAGGGAGTTGAAGGCGGATATAAACCATTACTAAGTGACGGCGCTATTTCACATGCGTGTCAAATCCGTCTCAAGCCCATCGGGACAATACATTCACGTTGTGGAGAGAAAGAGGCGTTACAAATTACGTCGCGCGCAGGATTTGCACGAGGGTCTAACTAATTTAACAAGAAAAAGTGCTGCGATATGCGGGCTATGTACTCCCCTGTTGGTCTATAGTCGTCACCACAACGTGGAACTAAGGTCCGCACCAAGCACCAAGGGTCCACTTGTCCTAATCTGTACTGATAAAATTCATCCGAACATATGCGATCGCCCGTAAGCGGCAATCGTTAGCCTTAAAGAGGAATTTTTAGCCTTTTCTCTGTCACTAATAGCTATTCCATTCTGATGCTTCATAGATCAGTTAGTTGTTTGACGATGTTCAACGATGTGTATCGTTTAGACGGATCTGATACGACACAGTGCTGTGCATGGCCCGCCTAAGGAGGTGTGCAAGGTTTGTGGCGAGCATTTTCGATGGAAGAAGCAGTTGGATAGGCATATGACATCCCATTCAGCGGTGAGGTTTCGGCAGTATGTCACGTTTTCCTTGCTCAAATAACGCTATAGCTTTCCAGACAAGTTTATGCTTAACCGATGCTTGATATGTCATTTACAGACTGCAATGAAACAGCCATATCTTTGCCATATATGTGATTGTACATATGCTACCGGACATGGACTTACACGCCATCTGTCTCGGAAGCATGAATGTCCAATTCCTGAAGGGTTCAGCAGGTTCATATATGGAGCGTTTTCTTATTATTAGGGTTTCCGGAAAGTTTTGAGAAATTTCAACCAGCTCATTTAACACTTATCAACAACAATAAGAGATAGTAGTTCATAGTTATAATAAATATTGTCCATCCTATGTCCCTTACCTTTTGGGCGGGATTACCTTGCGTGGGAGCTAGAACTAAGCGTACTGAGAATGAGGGGCGTACGCAACATCTAACTT